CCGTCCAAGGACCAGCTGAGGGCCATCCAAGGACCAGCTAAGGACCAGCCGAGGGCCATCCAAGGACCAGCCGAGGGCCATCCAAGGACCAGCTAAGGACCAGCCGAGGGCCATCCAAGAACCAGCCGAGGGCCATCCAAGGACCAGCTAAGGACCAGCCGAGGGCCATCCAAGAACCAGCCGAGGGCCATCCAAGGACCAGCTGAGGGCCATCCAAGGACCAGCCAAGGGCCATCTAAGGACCAGCCAAGGGCCATCTAAGGACCAGCCAAGGGCCATCTAAGAACCAGCCAAGGGCCAGCCAAGAACCAGCCGAGGGCCATCTAAGCACCATCCAAGGACCAGCTGAGGGCCATCCAAGAACCAGCCAAGGGCCATCTAAAGACCAGCCAAGGACCATCTAAGGGCCATCTAAGCACCAGCCAAGGACCATCTAAGGGCCATCTAAGGACCAGCCAAGGACTAACCAAGGAAAGTGGGGAACTTTTGATGGCTACTACTGTAGCCTGTCGATTTAAACCCTTCAAACTATTTCTTAATAGATTTAGCTTTTTTTTCTGGACAAACATTGTCGAAAATTAGACTAAATGTGTCTTTTTTTCCATTTTCCCCCATATTTAAAACCTGCAGGTGAGATTACCCCCCATGTTGTTCAATTTTTTGAACAAACATTTTTGCCCCAATTTAGCTCCATAGAGGTAGAGAATTGATTCAGTGTGTAATATTTTATTTTTCAATATTAGACAACAGATTAGAATGGAAAAACAAAAAGAAAACAAACATCGTAGAAACCAATGAAACCTGAATGACGACTAAACAGAAAAACGGTTCTGATGGGATCCAGGATGGCAACAGGAAGCCTCCATGTTTCCAGGAACCAACAGGATGAAGCCGTTTCCACCATCAGTAAAAGCAGCTGGAAGCTGCAGAGGAGGAATATTCTTCTGAGGAAACATCGGAAATGTTCAAGATGATAAATTCAGAGTGTTTAAGGATTCTTGGATCCAGAGGCGGCGGCGCCGCCGTCATCATCGTCAGGAGGACACGCCACGAAATCTGCCAACATGGAGGCCATGGCTTCATCTTCCTGCTGCAGAGCAGAGAGGAACAACATGAGGTGAAGCTGATTGACGTGGAAAACAGGCCGAACAATTTGATTTGATTCACGCAGAAACATTAAAAGCTAAGAAGGAAAGCGTAGATAATTGTTTTATCTGAAAGAAGCTTTTTAATTTATCCGTTGATGGTTTTAAGTTCTGAGCTAAATGCTAACGCTAACTGAGCCTGCTGTGCGTTTCAGGATGCTACAGTTGGATCGGCTAGCATCGCTAGCTTCCGGCTACCTCATCTTCGGCCACGCGTATACGTGGTGGCGGCCATCTTAGGACAAACTTTAAGGACTCTGGCTGTTTCTCAATTCACTAGAACACGAGTACGGACTCGTGATCTCGCCAAGTCTGTTCCTGAGAAGAACCCAGGAAAGTCTGGACTCTGGGAGAACGATAATCATTAGCTGGTTTTAGCCTTGATTTTAAGGACCTATTAATCAGCTCTAACTTGTTTAATATATTGATAATCTGCAGGTAAAGTTGCAGGTAAGCAGCAGTCAGACTGGCCAATCATGGCTTGATATCAATCAGCGGTTTAAGGAAAATAAACATCTACCTTTTTCTTCTCAGGACTCTGACCCGTTTCCTCCTCCATGTTCTCGTCCTCCCTCTTCCTCTTCGTCCCTTTCTCCTCCTCATTACTTTCCTCCTCTTGTTCTTTTCCTCCTTCCTCTCCTCCTCCTCCCTCTTCAGGCTTGGTCAGTTCTTCTTCCTTCCCGTCTCCCTGCTCGGCTTCCGTTTTCTCTGGTTCTGGAACGCTCGGAGCGGCGGCGGCGTCTTCCTGATCTCCTGTTCCTCCTGCTGAGGCCACGCCCTCACCTTCCGCCATCGGTGGCTGCTCCTCTAGCAGCAGCGGCGGCGGCGGCTCTTCTTTCTCAGAGCTTTCAGTCACAGGCTCCTGTTAAAACAGAAGAAGAAAATAAACCCGCCTCCCTCTGAATAACCAGATATTCTACGGAGGGCCAGAACAGCCACTGAAAAAAAAAAGTATCCTACAATTAGAAATCCAATTTAAACTTTGTTCTCTAATTAAATTTAAATTTACTATAGAGGACATTACATTTTATTTACAAAAGAAGACATGCTAGCTGTTAGCATGTTAGCTGGAGAAGCTAGTGAAGTTCAATTCAATTCAGTTTATTTATATAGCGCCAATTCACAACACATCTCATCTCCTCAAGTTCTAACGTTCCTCAGAGGAACCTGTTTAAAAGTCTCTCTCACCTCTGATTGGTGGATCAGACTGAAAGCAGAGAGCTAGCTCACAGTTAGCGTCCGCTACATTGGAAGGAAGCTAAATAATCCTTAGTCTGTCAGAGCGACATTTGCTCTGTTAATGAGATTTTAAATATTTCACCGATTTTATTTCAATAATATGCTCCTGTTGAAATCTAGAAGTTTAATTGTTTTTATTCAGACAGTATTTTACACAACTGGAAAAATAAGTTGTTAAAATATAATGATGAAAAACAAATTAGAATAATAAAAAAATTCCTTAATCTTATTCCAGAGAAAACTCTGTTTTCCTGTAATCAATGAATTCTTAGTCGACCGATAAAATAAATCAATTAATCAAAAAACTTTCATCTTTATTTCCAAATTAAGGAATGTTGGAGATGATTTGGCTGCTGGATTTATCCTGTTTTCCTAATTCAGCCACCAAGATGGCGGCGTGAGTACATCGCGTGGCTCACGGTCTCTCCACATTCTGCAATTTTATAGTAATATCCACCTGTATATTATATTCGGTACATATCCAGCTGTAAATTTAGTTCATAACACTAGTGATCTATATATTATATTCAGTATTTATAACAGTATTCATCTTTATACTATGGTGGCCCTGAAGTGCAAACTGCAACTACAAATCTAAAAGCGCAACTACATTAAGCAAAGCGCAACTACATAAAGCAAAGCGCAACTACATAAAGCAAAGCACAACTACATTAAGCAAAGCACAACTACATAAAGGAAATCGCAACTACATAAAGCAAAGCGCAACTACATTAAGAAAAACAAAACTACATTAAGGAAATCGCAACTACATAAAGCAAAGCGCAACTACATTAAGGAAAACAAAACTACATAAAGGAAAACACAATTACATTAACCTACCAGAAAAGGTAGGTACCAGTGGGAAACATGAGACATCGCTGATTGGACGACGGCGCCGTTTGACCCTTTGCTTTGCTTTATGTAGTTTTGTTTTCCTTAATGTAGTTGCGCTTTTAGATTTGTAGTTGCAGTTTGCACTTCAGGGCCACCGTACTATACTCATTCAGTAGAACCCATGTCCTGTATCTATGGAACCATTATTTATCCTGC